AACTTAACTCTGGTGCCGTGTCACATATAGAAATTTTTTGATATTTGCAACCATAGTAAAACAAAGACTTATATTTTTTATATTTATTTTATATATTTAAATGCCCTTTAACAAAGAAAAATCAACCAAAAAAATGAGTTCGCATGTATATTTTGCTGCTTTGGAGTGGAATGCTCTGAAGATATCAATTAAATCCATTTGATCTATTGTGCCATTTAAAGTTGCCATCTCTTTATTGATCTTCTGTCTGGAAAATCTGTCCATTGATGTCAATGGGTGTTAAAGATCCCCTACTATAACTATATTATTGTCAATCTTTCCCTTTATGTCCATCAAGATCTGCTTTACATATTCATGTGCTCCTATGTTGAGTACATAAATGTTTCCAAGGGTCATACCCTCTTGTTGGATTGATCCATTTATCATTATGTAGTGTCCTTCTTTGTCTCTTACTATAGCCTTGGTTTTAAAGTCTATTCTGTCAAATAAGTATTGCTACCCCAGCTTTTATTTCCTTTCCATTTGCACAACACATATTTTCCCATCTCTTTAGTCTGTGTGTATCTTTTCTTCTGAACTGGGTCTCTTGAAGACAGCATATACATGGGTCTTGTTTTCTTATCCAATCAGCTACCTTATTGCATTTAAAGTGATTGCTGATAGCTACATATTTATTGCCATTTTATTTTTTCAACTATTTTTTTCCTTTTCTTATTCTTCCTCCTTTTCTTAAAGCAACAAATGGTGGTAACAAATTCCTTTAGTTTTTTCTTGTCTGGGAAGCTCTTTATTTCTTCTTCAATTTTTGTTTGGCTTTGCTTTGTTTTGTTAATTCTCACCAGAGGATATTTTTTCCATTGATTTTTAGAGAAAGTAGAAGGGAGGAAGGGAGGTAAGAGAAAGAGAGAGAGAAACATCAATGTGAGAGAGACACATCGTTGGTTACCTCCTGCACGCGTCCTTACAGGGGTGGGGATTGAGCCAACAACCAAGGTACGTGCGCTTGACCAGACGGAACCCGTGACCCTTCCGTCCACAGGCTGACACTCTACCATTCAGCCAAACTGGCTAGGGCATGACTGGTCCTTTTTAATGGTTTCTGTATCATTTTTTACACTGTTGAGAATCCTTATAATTATTACTCTGAACTCTGTATCTGATAAATTGCTTACCTCTACTTCATTTAGCTCTTTTTCTGGAGAATTCTTGTGTTCCTTCATTGCCTGATTCTCTGATTCCCCATTTTGGCTGCTTGTTTGAGTTTGTTTCTATGTATTAAGTAATCTTCTATATTCCCAGTCTTGGTAAGGGAAACTTGTGTCGTAGGTGACCTGTGGGACCTAGTGCTAACCATCTTCCTGATTACCAGAACTCGGTGCTCTACGAATGTCCCTTGTTTGATTTATGTGGGCCGTCCTGTTATAATTGAGTCTTGACTGCTATTGACCCATTTGTGGATGGACTCAACCCTCAGGCTGGCGGACAGTGAGGCTCAACTCCCAACACAACATGCAGGCTGCTCTGCAGGTGCTGATCACACAAAGTGGACTCTGCCCCAGCAGGGTTTGGTGCCGGCCACTATCTCCTGTGGATATGCTGCTTGTGAAGATCATTGGATCCTGCTCTGTTGTTGTCTGAAGCGGGCCACTGGGTGTATTGGTTCTGGGTCTCTTCAGAGAGACTCTGGTGCAGCCCATGTCACATGCTGCCTGTGACTGGCCTTGACCAACCTATATGGAGCTATCAGTGATCCACAGCTTGTGGCTCCCCCTACCGGGCCTGGGTGCATGCATTAAGGTCTGCTTTTACTCAAGTATGCAAATTTAAATTAAAGTTGTTTTGTAAAGTACATTGTAGACTTTCTTCCTTTTGGAAAGTACTTATTTTGATATCAAATAGACAGTTGGACTAGATTACCTTTGAAGTTCCTCCCAACTCTGAAATGACTGCGTCTCTATTTCAGTAGTCAGGTCAATATTACTAAAAGAACTGCATTGCATGAATTCACAGAAACCAAACGGCTTCCTGCCTAACATTAATCTCTTTCCCCATCGCTACAGAGCCTAAAGTCACTCATTCCCCTCTATTAAAGTTCTTAAAAGTGCTCTTAAGGCTTATAAATTTTATTTGGATTCAGGTATTATATGACAAAGGAGGGATAATCAATTTACTTATTAATTTACCTAATTACTATCAATTATCATACTGAAAATAACACACACACACACAAGCTTTGGGGTGGATAGTTGGGGAGCAACTATGATATCATTCTGTGCCAAACTATTTCATCACCTTTATAAAAGCAGCTTCCCAGCTAACTGACTCTGCCTCTCTCTGCCTGCTCAGACAAGGCTACTTCTCCCAGATTATGTCCCCATCATCGAGTGAGGCCTTTGCAGTTCCTGTCTCGTGGGTCTGTTTCTAGCTTCCCACTGTATACTTTGGACTTGATATTTTTATATTGTTCTTTCTAAAGCCTAGAGATCTTTTTCATACATCCACTATCTTGAGTCAGCTCATTCTAACCTTCCCTAATTTCCAATACTCCCACTTTTTGAGAGCCCTGGAACTCTGGCTTGACTTGGAGGAAAGTCAGCTTCTAGAGTCAAGTAGGGTAGAATTATAGAGGGGGGAAAAAAAGAGGGGTCAAGGTAAGCAGTCACGTAATGAAAAGGAGGAATGACAAAGCATTAAGACAAAGGTGGTTTAATTTATAACTTTTTCCTAGCAACCATCAGTCACAGCAACACTACAGTATAAAATTGTCATATAAATTTAAAGTTGATGAAAGAAATAGAATTTTATACATACCTAAAGCAAAAAATATCCTAAGGGTCACTTGTTATCAATATGAAAAATCTAAAGCAAAACCGGTAGTTTTCCTTTTGAACTGTACAAATCCACTGGTTCAAATATCCCTGTGACCTTTAGAATTAGTCAGTATATGTTATAGATTTTTGCTCATTTACTTTATTACTTGCAACTCATTGTTATAAAACTGCCAACCACAGAAACTTTCCCATCGAAACTATGTATTTTCAAACTCTGGAGGCCAATGTTGTCATCAAGCCAACCAACCAGAAGTGAGGACATTTATATACTCTATTATCAATTCTAGAGTCATCAATATCCTTGAATCAGCATCCCATTATCATATACCAACCCTCTCTGATTACACTCTGTTATTGTCAGAAACCCTCTCCGTGTAGAAAGAGAGAAAGTGCCTCTTTGCATCGGGTTTATTACATTACACTCTCCCTGTGTAACCACAACAATATTGTGTGGATCAATAGAAACAGCAAAGAACTAGCCTTCTATTTCCTTACTCCATCAATATTTAAAATCAGGACTCCCAGTGGTGGACAAAGAGGAGCATGTAACCTGACCTAATTTTTCTCAAGGATTGCTCAGAAAAATAAATAGGCCTTCATAAACTAAATCAGTAATTCAAATAAATAATGAGTAAAAGAGTTTCTATCTGGGCAATTTTGTATACGAATATGTTTTGTAAATAATTAAACACACTATCTCAGGGAAATCATTGCAATTATAACATGAGGATTTGTTGTAAAGGGAGACAGCAGCAGCAGCTTGCTGAGCAAATCCAATGTTTGAACAATCTGGCTTCAAAAAAGAGAATCCCATCTCACACCTAATTTTCTCATTGCTAATAAGTGGGGTAGGAGGACATGCATTAATTTATCAAAACATCATAATTTTAAAGTGCATTAAGTAAATCCAGATTTGGGGGAAGTTAGAAGAAGCCAGATGGAATATGATGTATAATAACCTTCCTATATTATTCCAAAGCTAATTCAGCCCACAAAAATTTAACATTATCCTATTGTTACTATCCCATCTGAAGGCCACTTCATTAGCAAATCAACAATACTCACTGAGTGTTTATAGTAGGCTGAACTTGTGTAGAAACTATAGGCTTTATTTGCAGGTAAGAGGTAAAAGAAAGACAGTTTTCAACCATGAAATTCACATAAGAGTGGAGCACTCATTTTAGTAATTATAATTAGAAAGGAAAGTGCCTTTTTCCCTTCCTTTACTCCCTCCCTCAGTCTTTCCCTCCCTTACTCCTTCCTTCCATCCACAAATATTGAGTAGCTGCATGTCCCAAATGAGTTCTATAGTCTAATGCTTACATTCTTCTAGGGAAATCAGATGTAAAAGACTAGTACATAAATTAGTTCATTTAAAATAGTAGTGTTATAAAGAAAATAAAACTAGAAAATCACATAGTTATAGAGTAGGCATGGATAATTAAATAAAATTGGAAAATAAGGTAGTGATGGAGAAGGTATACACACCAGTAAATAGAATGGTCAGAGAAGGTCATTCTGAATGTTGACATTTTAGTCAAAGCTTGAATAATAAGAATGTGAATATCATAGAGAAAAGCATTGCAGACAGGTAAAACAGCACGTGGAAAAATGTCAAAACAAGAGTAATATGGTTGAAGAAGGGCCAGAAAACCAGTATGACTGTTGTGTGATGAAAGGAGAGTAGTGGGAGGTGAGACTGGAAAGGTAAATGGTACCAGTCCGTTAGGCTCTTACAGGACCTGTGAGCTGTTTGAATTGTATTCTCAGTGTGAGTGAAAGTTATTGGGAGATTTTTAAGCAAAAGAGTGACATGATCTGGTTTACATTTTAGATCACTTGAACTGTTATATGGAACATGAATCTTGGAGGGGAAACTGAAACAAATTAGGAGCCTATTGCTACTCCAGGAGAGAGCTGGGTAATGCAATCAATCAATCCATTCCTTTTAAACAGACTTTTGCTAATTAGAAACCTACTGCAATGGAAAGCATTACATAATGATCAGTACAACTACAGAACTACTCTGGATTTCTAAGTATGGATCTACAAATTAAAATAAAGCAAAAATCTCTTTTCTCAGTGTCCATATTGCTCTACTACATTTGTAAGGAAAAGGGACTGCAAAAAGGAAATAAATTTGGAAGAACAAAAATGATGATAACTTACCATTTTTGGCTTTGCAAGATCTGTTGTCTGGCTGCATTATGTAGCCTTCCACACAACCGCAAGCATAGGATCCATACGTGTTTACGCAGGTCTGGCTGCATGCACCATACATGGCACATTCATCTTGATCTAAAAGGAAAATTGGCATCATTTCTAAGTAGATTTATAGTTGGGCATTTTGTTTTTTCTTGAAGAAAACTTTTTAAAAATATAGTTTGGAAATAGACTATTGCTCTAAAAAGGAAGGGCCACCCTAGCTGGTTTGGCTCAGTGGATAGAGTATTGGCCTGAGGACAGAAGGGGCCCAGGTTCGATTCCAGTCAAGGGCATGTACCTCAGTTGCAGGCTCTTGGCCCTGGTCTGGGTCATTGCGGGAGGCAACCAATCCATGTGTCTCTCTCACACCAGTGTTTTTCTGTCTCTCCCTCTCCATTCCACTCTCTCTAAAAATTAATAAAAAATATCCTCAGGTGAGGATAAAAAAAAGGGGGCCAACTTCAATAAGTCTTTTCAAAACTACACTAACTGAAATAGTGATAAATAAAATAAATAAAATTTAAAAATCAGCTAATTCATTGTTGTTTTAATAGTTACAGAAATATAAGATCAAACTTAATGCAACATCTTTTATTTTTTTATTAAATAAAATATTTATTGTTGAAGGTATTACATATGACCCCCTTTTTTCCCCTATTGACCCTTCTAGCCTGCCCCCATGCCCCCCAGGCCTTCACTACCCTATTGTCTATGTCCATGGTTATGCATATATGCATATATGCATATAAGGTCTTTGGTTGATCTCTTCCTACCAATCCACATCTTTTATTTTAAAAGAGGTTTTATTTACATTTTTATGGGCAGGCTAGATGTCCTTGGATAGTTCTACAAAGGTATGAAATGCACTCCAATGAATATTTGTTGAATAGTTCTACTGTTTATGACACTGACTTTTTCAGTATTTTAACAATTAGTCTAATAACATAACATGGTTTTCAATAAACATATTAAATAAGAGTTCTGAGCCAAGCTATGCAAACTACCCTCAGGAAAAAAACAAAACAAAACAAAACAAAACAAAAAACATTAAGCACTTGTTAAAATGAAAAATATTATCTTAATTAAATGTTATTTTAATATGCATGATCCTCATTCTACTCCCTCTCTCCTTTTTCTCCATGTACTTCCTTCCTGCAGCAACTTGTACAAATCTCTATAAACAGCAGGTATTTAATGATTCTTAACCAAGCAGGCAAAAACACAAATTCTGTCAGTCAATAATTTAGACTAATATGTGTCTTTATTCTGTTCTGTGTACCATGAACTATACTAATCACAAAAAAAATCCAAATTGATAAAACATGATTCCTACCCTTAAGTGAAATGAGTATAGTGAAATATAATTTTGATTTTATGGATTTCCTTACAATAGAGAGAGAGTCATACTCTAGTTATGATATAGACATAGAGAAGTAAATGAAATTGCTTGGAGTTAGAGAGAGAATGTTAAGTGAAGGCTGTATAGTGAGCTGAGTTAAAGAATAATTTCAATTTTCTCAAACTGAATGAAAAGGGATGAGATGGAATAGGGCATCCCAGTTTAACAAAATAGCATGTGAAAAGGCATTGGGATGACATAGTGGGGATTTTAAAGACCTGCAAAGAGTTGAGTGGAGTAAGTGTGTATAAGGGAAGTGGTAAGAGATAGCATGGCAAAAGTAGTTTTAAGGCCAGCTAATGAAGTTATTCTATGCTAAACTAAAAGGCTGTGCATTATACCTAGACTTTGGGAAGCATTAATTAGATAAGCTATATGATCAACTTTATATTTTAAAACTAAACCAAAAAAATGGCTTGGTGAAAGTAGTGAAGAGGTCCTTGAAATTTAGTTATGTACTAATTTCACTCCAGAAACTTTATTTTGAAGTCATTATATTGTGAATTAAGTCAGTGGCAATAAAAATGAAAAAAAGCAAATTAACTCAAATGTTTAAAAAACAGAATAGGCAACATGTGAAGACTAATTGGATATGATGAAATTGAATGGTGGTCCAATTTGATATGAAGTATAGGTTTCAGTGGAGATATCATGGAAGGAAACATTGAATATGGTTTGGATGTGTTATATTTGAGGAGTCTGTAGGGAATTCTGGAGTAAATGACTAACAAGTAGTTGGAAATATGAAACTGGCAAGATTAGTGAGATCTGTCTTGGAGTATTTGGGAGTCAGTAGCATATGGATAATAGAATGAAAAACAAACAAAAAAAAACAAATAGCAGAGGGTTTGATACACACACATACAAAAAAGAAAGAAGTGAGAGAAGCTTGGCAGGTGCACAATACTGCAGGACACCAATATTAAAAAGGCAGGAGCCTCCTCTGAAGGAGACTTCATGAGAAATGTAAGGAGTTAGGGAAGGTGACATAGTGAAATACTCAGTGAAGAACCCAGTAATATAGATATTGAAACTGTCATTAGGTTTTGGAAGTTAGGACGTGGTGCAGTTACCTTGGCGCAGTGAAAATGGGATGCTGCCTTAAATGGCAAGTAGGTCTTATGATATTAACTGGAATGTGCTTTTGTTTTATTGTTTTATTGAATCCCTAAAGGGAATTGAATATACAAACTTTGGCCTATGTTTTAATATGTTTCTTCATTGGAACTTGGAAATACTGAATTTGAAGAGAAGTGGGGACTCTTGGAAACCATTTTGGAGGAAGGGCATGAGGAAAAGACACAGAAGAAAAAAGAAGATGAGAAGCAAACAAAATGGCTAATGAGGTTGTGGTGTGAATTGGATTAAACTGCTATGGTATAATAAAATATATTATTTGTTCTTTGTCTTCAGTTCTTCAAACCCTTGTATTTTCTGAGTAACAGGAGTGTTCTTTGTTATTTATAACTAGTGCCCCAGTGCACGGATTTGTGCACATTGAAAGGAAATTAATTAGAAGATGGCCGGTGGGGCTGGACTAGATGGACGGGACACACCCTGGAGCCAATCTCCTGTGGTCCTTCCCCTGCCGGCCACACCTGGGACGGCAACGCGGCTTGAAGGACATCTGCGGAGTGAGTGGTTGGGAGGATCCCTTGGCCTGGCCTGTGGGGATTGGGCCAAAACCAGCTCTCCGACATCCCCCAAGGGGTCCTGGATTGCGAGAGGGTGGTTCCCGGGTGACACACCCCGGAATCAGACTCCCTCCTCTGTCGTTCTGGGTGCGTCACCCAAGAACCGCAGCTACCAAGTCATCACAGCTTGGCAGCTCCTGTGTTGAGTGTCTGCCCCCTGGTAGTCAGTGCACATCATAGCTAGTGGTCAGATAGTTGGTCGCTTAGCCTTTTATATATATATAGATGAGGCCCTTTGGAATACACCAGAGTCCATGTGAGTGAGGTCACTTAGATAATGTCAGGATGGGGGCTAGTCACTACTAGATAATGTCAGGATGGGGGCTAGTCACCACAAAGACCAAACAGAACTCTGAGCCCCACCCTCTGATCACCCAAAGCTAAGAAAGGTATTTAGTAAAGGAAAGCAAAAAGATTATTGAGAAGCTAAGGGACCATTTTAATTAGAAAACTATGCATTTGTAAGACATTCATTTGCACTTTTCTCAGGTTTCTTTAGCTTTGTATATTAACTAGCTTGTATTCATGGATCGCTTGTTTGAAGTAAGTAGCTTTGGGATAGAAAGAATAGTCTTTGAAGCTGAATCTACAATGATAATAAAAGAAATGAAATCTTATATTTGGTAAAGTCCAGTCCACAGTGGCAAAAATGATTCTTATCTATTTTCACAGATGGTTCAACGTTAATGTTATTGGCTTTTATTTTAGTTTTTCTGATATCATTATGTTGTCCAGGAGAGCAATATGAATAATGATTTCTTTTGTTCTTTCTCCTTAGCCAGAATGCACTGCTGTGACATTGATATACTCCCCCAAAATTGACCACAAAGAAGTAGGCCTGTCATTACTTTTAATTCTGCCTACTTTCTTACTTTAAGGACAGAAAATATTCTGGAAATATGGCTTCTGGAAAGTGTAAATGATGTTCAAACCTGGCCATTCAGGAGTGCAGAGAAAGAAAGAAGAGCTCTTCTTCCACTGGGGACCTTCCATAGTGATTGCTGCATAATTTCTTATTTATGTTCAACAGAGGAAATTGATTGAATTTATCTTTATGCATTTAATGAGGAGATTCAGGAGAAGAGAGTCATCCAAAATGAGATTAAAACCCTGATTCTTATAGGAGTCAGGTGTAGCCAAAGAATAAGAAGTTTGAGTAGAGATATATTAGCCTACCCTGTGTGAATGACAACTGCTGGTTTACACTAAAAATTGTAGCCTAGCCAGCATGGCTCAGTGCTTGAGTGTTGACCTATGAACCAGGAAGTCACAGTTCAAGTCCCAGTCACGGCATATGCCCAGGTGGTGGGTTTGATCCCCAGTGTGGAGCATGCAGGAGGCAGCCAATCCATGATTCTCTCTCATCATTGATGTTTCTATCTCTCCCTTTCCCTTCCTCTCTGAAATTAATAAAAATATATTTTAAAAAAGAAACTATAAATTATTTGTATGTCTAGAGGTACTATTCTCATTTTGTTGACTTTCGTGATGATATGGGGTCTAGTCTGGCAATTCTTATGATTTGTTTTTTCCTCAAAGTCTGACCTTTTGTGTGCAATCTTCTAATTTTTAAGTGTTGACTTAAAAATAATGTCACTTAAATAAATATGTCGGTTTGGTCCTGCTGTAGGCAGTTAGACAGACATGAGCAGAGCAAGGACGATGGGGCAGGTCACTAGTGTGGAAAGCCACAAGTAACTAGCAATGTACAATCAATTGTGGGGCAGAGCCTCGATACCAAGGTGACTTTTCCTCCCCTAGCATATCGCTGGTCATGAGGTTTGGACCCCCTGACTTTTATTCCCTGGAGATAACATCTATGCCTTAGTTGTAGTTCAGCTCCAGGCCCAGATAAGCAACAAAACCAACCATGACTGACATCAGTGAAAGGGATTTCAGAAACAAAACAGGCAAGTTCAAGTTCTGGGAGTCTTAGAGATAAGGAGGGTCCATGCAAGAGAAATGCATAGATTGGGGCTTGAATTCACTTATCTTACTTGTACAGAAGATAGAGAAATGCCACAGGAAGGGAGTGGGGGGGGGGCATTCCAGGAAGATGGAAACATTTCTGGCCTGAGCAATTAAAACATCCATAAACCAAAGACAGAGATATCTCTTGCCTGAGCAGCTGAGAGATCAAAGGCAACTCCAACTGGCGAGATAAGGGGGGGGGGGCAGCACGTGGGATTTAGACTTTGAAACTAACACTATGTAGCAGAATGACCAATGAGGAAGGCATGGGGGTCCTAAATTAATAAAGGATCCAATTAGAAAGGGTCAGGCTCAGACAAAGATCTGCAGCCTTTATAAATCAAGAGACAGAGACTCAGCAGATTTTTAGATTTTTTTGGATTTAGATTTTTCCCATTAGAGAGAGAGAGCAGGCTTTTTGCATTTGGGGGCTCCTCCCCAGGGGGTACCCTTGGAGTTTGTATATGCTTCTAATAAACTTCTACATTTCTATTAAAGAAATCTGTTAGTCCACAAATTTATTATTCAACTTCATTGTATAAGAACCCACGAGAAGAATCTGCACCCCTGAACCCCACATTTCATCAGGACCAGCTGCATTGAATAAGGACTCCCTGCCCTGGTGCTGGCCAATCAGTGGAGACCACAACCCTGAAAGGACACACGTGGAAAACTGCTGAATATTCTATTGAGATCTTCCCCTGGGGCATCCCTTAAAATTTCCATTCTTAGTATGGAGGACCCAGTGCGCTCTCCCTCCCAGGAGTACACAGTACCTTTCCCTTCCCCTACTCCCTCCCTGCCCCAGGCACTTTACCATTAGCTTCCTCACTTCCATGCTTCAAGGCTCCTTCCTTTACTTCCATAACCTGTTTCCTAAGCCCATTTCTTCTAGGAATTACTTTGTCTATCTCTGTAATTTACCAAGTAAATATTCTCTTACAGTTTTGGGTCTTGGCTCTGAATTATTTCCTAGTCAGAACCCAATTACCCAGGTTTGGTCTGACCCCACCAGTCAGACACCTGGTACATTTACTGCTGCCTACCACTGTAAAAAAAATTAGAAAGATTATGCATCCACTGGGCCTGATAGACATTTAATAATAAATGTTTCTATAACATTTGTATAATGCAGAAAGTAAACAACAAACTACAAATTCAAGGCACAAATGTTTATTAAAAAGCAATGAGCCTCTTTTTTTGGTTTTGTTTTGTTCTAGAGTATTTACAAAACAAGAATTAGGACATTTAAAATATAAATATTGTCATGTTCACCATTATTAACATAGTGGTGAAATGCCAATTGTCAGAATTTCCAATGCAAAAATTGTAAAGGATATTACATGATTATTATTAACCTAACACAGTTATACCACCCTGCGGCTGTATAATAGGCATAAAACAATTGGAAATTTAAGATAATTAAATCCAATATTTTAACGGTTAACCAAAACACTTCCCATGTTTAACATTATTGTAATATGAATCAAAAATTATTGATATAAGCGCAGTCCTATAATATTTATGTTTGTAGTTTTTTTGGGGGAATGAGTGTCAACTTTTAAATCTTAGGGAAAATAAATGTAAACTTTGTGTGGATCACATGGTAGGTAATAAAAAATACTTCATAAAATTTCTGTTCACTAAGCTTCTGGAAAAAAAATTAATAGTCACCTGTCATACTTACCTTTACAGCTTCTTCCATCTTCTTTTACTTCAAATCCATCTTGACAGTAACATCTTGTACTATTTCTGACCACTGCACATTTATACTGACAATTCAACTGCTGGCAATTGGACAACAGTTCTGTAGAGAAAAACAGAAAGATCACCTCTATATGACTGTGCACATACATGTGTTTAAATTTAAATATTGTTAATATTTGCTCAGTGCATCCTTCAAAGTTTCTGTGATTGGTTGAGAGAACAAACAGCATGTATTCCTTCTAAAATATGTTGATTTGCATTTGTTTGAAGTATCGTTAATAATATTTCAGTTCTATTTGTTCAGTTTTTCACTTTTTAGCTCATTATATATTTTCAAAGTCACAAAATCCTTTCAAATTCTTGTAAATTAAATTATTTCAAATGGAAAAATGTCAACTAAGTGGTTGATTTCACCATTGGTTCCATGCCTTTCCTATCTGACGTATCAATTGATTTTCTATCTTTTGAGCACTTGTTTTGATTTACTAATCCATGCGTAACCTTCATAGCAATCGATGAATATATTCAATTTCAATAATTTTTCTTTCACGAGTTGCAAAATATTAGACAACTACTGGACATAATATATTTTGTTATATCTGAATTATTTCAGTGTGAATATTTCATTAAAACAAAAATTAGCAAGCCATCAGAGCAAATTAAGATTCAATATGATAAATGCATGAAACAGCTGAAGTGACAGGAGAATATTCACTGCATAAATGATTTCTAACAGGAATAAGTCTTGTTAAACTAGAAAAATATATGCATAGAACATGTAACTGATTTTTCTATTTGAAAATAGGGTTATTGCTAGACTGGCATGGCTCAGTGGTTGAGTGTGGACCTATAAACCAGGAGGTTATAGTTCAATTCCCAGTCAGCGCATATGCCTGGGTTTCAGGCTCATTCCCCTATAGAGGATGTACAAAAGGCAGCCAATCAATGATTCTCTCTTATCAATGATGTTTCTATTTCTCTCTTCCTCTTGCTTCCTCTCTGAAACGAATAAAAATATATTTAAAAAGGAAAATAGGGTTATTAATGGATTGTGACAGCCCTCCTGTCCCACCCCAGGAAGAAAAATAAGGGTATTGAAGGGTATTGAAGATTAAACTTAAATGATTTAAAATATGTTGCTATTTGCTACAAGTTTATCTGCTGCTTCATAAATATATATATATATATATATATATATACAGACACACACACACACACACATATATATGTATATATATATAAATATGTAAATGTATAAAAAGTCCAATGTGGAAAAGAAGAGCAGGAATATTTCAAGCTGAAAATTTGACATTTTACTAGAAATTTAATTATCTATAGTATTTTTTTTTAGCCAATTACTTTTCAACTCTAATTATTTTATGCATGTTCTCTCCATAAAACTTCAAGTTTCCTTCCTATGGTCACACATATTGCAAAGGCAGCCTGAGACACCCCCCCCCCCCCCCGCAAACTGCATTCTGATGCATAAGCTTGCTAGCCCCCAACCCCTTTTCTCTTGTGTCCCTGTGAAAAGACAAAAAAATCTCCTCCATCTTGTCTTGTAGGGCTGGGCCCTCAGCCTAAGCCCCCTTCCTTTTCTGAGAGTGACCACAAGAATGCCAGTACTGTCCTAACTCCCCCAACCACCACCTGAATGGACCAATGAAGCTCCAGGAATGCAGCTAAGGTCCTAATAAGGCTACAGTGGGGGACAGCTCAAGCCTCAGAATGTGCTGGTCACTTCCTGACCTTTGTGCTGTAAGACCCTGCTGAAAAACTCTGACCAGAGTGACCAATCTCTGTAACTCACGTCACTTACCTAAGCCCACCCAAATGACTAGCCCTATATAACCTTTGTTCTCCCGGGGCGCTCTCTCTCTCTCTCTCTCTCTCTCTCTCTCTCTCTCTCTCTCGTCGAGGCTGGGAGCCAATGGGAGCCAAACCCGGGTTTGAATAAAGACTTTTTGCTTTTGCATCGGAAAAGGCTCCCTGGTGGTTGATTATTGGGGACCCCGAACTCTGGGCATAACACTTGCTAGCCTTGCAGAACCTGTATATCTGCAGGGGAGACATAAAAAGCCCCCAAAGAAAACTAACTGCTGGCGCCAGCTAGCCTGGATGTTTGGTCATAATCTCACTCCCCCCATCCCAACCCATGGGGGATGCAAAGCCTGTGAAAAGTCCAGAAGCCTGGTCCATATTTGGGAGACAAAGAAACTAAGGGATAAAAGGAAAGACAACCCCCCCAGCCCAACCGCTCATTCGGTACTCAGGCTTTGGAGACTGACTCCCCTTAGTCACCACACTAGTGCATCTGCAAATAAAGGGTTTTCCTGAATCTTCCGACTGCCCATTATGTGTTTTCCGGTCGCCTGGTAATTTCTGCCACAGTATGATAATTTTGCTTCCTACTTTTCTTAGAAAATTGAAGCATTCAAAAGAGATTTTCCACAGATCTGTTTTTCATATTTATCCACCTCTGCATATTCTTGTCTTTATTGCTTTTAAAACTCATAATCAAAGCCCAAATCCCAATTCCTTTACACAAATTCCATGCCCTCTCACCGAGTCAAGGATATAACTTCAGCTATTCTCTACTTCCTCTCATAATTGCTTTTTATTTTTTAAATAACTATGTACTAGAACAAACTAAAGCCCTCAATCTTTGTCAATTAACTTTTACCAGAACACAGTGAAGCCCCTTTGTTTAAATATTACCTCAGGCTGCTTTTACTCTACAAAGGCATAGCTGGCTAGTTGCCTCCAAGACCTATGGCCCACAAAGCCTAAAATATTTACTATAGCTCTTTATAGAAAGTTTTTTGACCCCTGCACTAGTTCAATCTCAGCATCAAACATGCTCTTATTTTTCCCCAACTTAAAAACAAAGAACTTTGACCTCACTTCTCCTATTAGTCACCATTGTTCAGTTCCTTTTTGCAACAAAATTTTAAAAATTACCCATACCCACTGTCTCTCTCTACCCTTCTGTTTCTATCTTAAACCCACTCCAAGCCTTTGCTCCAAAGAAATGCTTGTTTGAATATCTCCAATGATCTTGATGCTAACTAAATACAATGACCTTTCCTTAGTCCTCATCTTCCTTGACCTCTCAGTAGCAGTAGACACAGGTAACTACTGTTTTCTGAAACAGATTCATGACTTTACTTCCATGGGCTCCACACCCTTGCTTTTCCTCCTATTTCACAGTCTCCTTTGTGAGATTCCTCCTCTTATTGTCAACCTGCCAATGTTGGGGTGCCCTAGGGCTGAGGCTGTGATCTTTTTCTATCAATATGCTATTGTTGAACTCAACAAACATCAGAGCTTCCTCTCTGACTGGGACATAACTGTAGTATCATAACTTGACAGCTAGTTGTGCCCTCGTCAATTTCTAATGTTCACTGCTGTGACTATATTAAAGTTCTTTCTCCTTGAAAACTTGGAACAATTGTTCTTTCCAAAATATAAATTCAACCAATACACAAATTAACTATATTTTATTTAATAGGTTTGGATTTGGGATCAGTGCTAAGTTTATGCTAACATAAATGTCAATATTTATGTAACGTACAAAGAGTAGTAACTTGGTTTATAAAAATGTATTAGCAATAAAATATGTAACAAATGTTTCTTTATACCAGTTTATATAGCTACAAATTATAAATCTATATCAAGTTCTTTAATTTCACAATCTTTTTGAAACACACAACAGTTAAACATGTAGTTATTATTGTAACTTACATTTTACAGATGATAAATCTGATGGTTGATAACCCAAGATTATACAGCAAACATACAGTAGAGCTAGCATTCAAATTAAGGTCATTCTAAATATAAAGTCTATGTTCTGATACCTATATATTCTAATACCTATGTAATGATACCTGTAATTCCCACTGGACAATCTGGCGATGGCTGGAACCATGGTGTATCTTTGTTTGTCAGCCTAGGCTTAGTAATGTGCGACAGAAAACAAAGTGTTTCACGATTTTTATAGGATAAATGCATCAAAAAATCAATAAAATAGCTGAACTCTAGGATGAAGATTAACAGTCTCAAGTTTCATTTCTACTTCATTAAACTAGGTCCTAAATATCATTCATTTACATCTTCAAGTCAGGTAATTGAATTGTCAAATCTTGTTTGATTATTGTGGAATCATTTCAAAATTGCTGTGCACATATGTGCTACTTTAGTCCAACATGGATTGAGTACCTAGTCAAAGTTAAGCACTCCGCTGGGGTTCCACAGATACAAAATTGCTTTACCCAAACTAAGTGATTATGCCATGAGTGGGGAAGTGGTGTTAGGTGGGAAGAACAATGTTAGACAGCTATAACTCATAGCAGAATAATATATATGTTAAATAAAAATGTAAATTCATAAGCTAGAAAGAGAAAAATTCATAAAGAGACTGAAAATGGGGGTAGGTATCTGGAACATACTGTTGACTGTGGTAGAAAATAGGACTGGAATTGTTTAGGACCAGGACCAGGTGGATTAATTAATAGATTAAGTAGCATTCTCTCCTGATAATGGGAGTCATTGCTAGTTAATGAGGACAGGGTGATATATTTTGACTTGTATTGTTTGAAAATACCTAATAGCAGGGAGAAAGATAAGTGAAAAATAGTGAAAGAAGAAAAGCCATCTAAAAGGCTACAATAGCAAAGGCATAAATTAGGGCTATGAATATTTAGATCAATGGATGGTCAAAAACTTGGTGAAAGCATAATGTCAGGGAGTTAATAGTACCAATAAAATGTATTAAGAATAACAGGAGAACTGGAAGTTTTGGGAAAATAATAAATTTGTCTTTGTTTAGTTTAAAATGTTGATAGAGTAATGGGCAGGAGGAAGTTGAGAATTTGAGTCTATTTAAGAAAAGAAGGTTGGACTGGGGTTGTAAATCTGGAATTTACAAATGTAAAGTTGGTGCTTGTAGCCCAAGGAGGAAAGAATCATCCCTCATAAAGAAGTTTTATGATACAATTATAATCCAGAGAACTTTTACATGTGAAAGGCAAGGAGAAAAAGTGTCAATGAAGAAACTGCTAAACAATCAAACATATAGATGAAGAACCTAGAAAGCTTCAC